AACTTAAGAATAATTATACAAGTACTATTTATATGAAAGCTGCCGCTGCTGCTATTGGCGTCGCTGCCGCCGTGGTCACTGCTGTTGCTGCTGATAGGTGTCTTGTGACACGATGGCTCTCACGGTGGTGCTGATCGGTGCGCTGACTCGGCGCTCGTGGCGGAAATGCACACGTTGACCAGAATGTGTTTTGGCCAAGTGCATTGATCTTATTATTATTGCTGACGATAGGCTCCCACGGTTGCGGTTGCATTGCTGTTGTATTTTGCTGACAAAGCGCACGTGTTAAAAGTGCATGCACTGGAGCCGTGATATAATTGGGCCGGTGCAATACCCTTTTGTAGGGTCTGTCGTTAACTTATATATATAGATTTTGTTTTTTTTTTTTTTTTTCAAGAGGAAACTGATTAGATCCATAGAAATACTTTCCATTTGAATAAAGATCGAATCTGGTATGCCAATAATTACATAGACGTCCGATAGTTACTCATGTTCTCCCAGTAGACTTACCTATCGAATGTCTGTATAGCTACCTATATGTTCACTGTGAAGTTTTCGTCTCTTTTAGACTGGCAAACTACAATAATCATCATCTGTATACAGACGCCCCATAAGTCCCTCACTAGGCAAAAGTATAGAAGTTCCAATTTTTGTTGCATAATATATCGTATTCAGAGATACGATCCGTTGGGATATGGAGAATTACAAGATATATGCCATATATCTCGAGCTCATCCGGTGCGCCAGCGATCAGTGTCGGAATCATAGTGGGCGCGGTAGTTGGTGTATTAATCAAAGCGATACGTTTTATTGATCCCACAGCGATTTGAAACATTTACATACGCGTGCATATGCACTATAATAAACTACTTTACAATTTGGTTCACCGAAAACGAAAAGTGCAATTTTATTGAATTGAGTCTTTGGTTCCTGCCAGCGACTATTCCTCATTGGGCTTCATCTGTATGCTTGGTGAAGTGGAGGTGGAAAGTTTATACAGTCGATTGGGTGCACAGTGGGGTATATATGTATAGGGTATTTCATTTCGACTGGGTTATAGTTACCTTCTTATCCAACATGTTGCCCAGGGAGCGTACCAGAGGGTCCAGCACCTCGCGCACCTGCGACTTGGTCACATGCTCCATGGCCTCGAGCAGCTGCTGATGCAGCTCCCGCTTCTCCCGGCCGGGCTGCTGCAGTAGTGCCAATATATTTGACAGCTGACGGTTATGCTCGTCCGACTGCTCGGGCTGTTCGGGCTGTACGTGTTGTTCGGGCTGTCCGGGCTCCTCGGGTTCGCTGCTTGGCTCGCCGCGATTGTCGCCACACTGGACGCACTCGATGTGGGTTGGCACGTATTCGCTGGGCTGATCGGGCGGCACCTCGGATCCCTGGCTTAGCAAAATGCCAGGGATGATTGGGGCATTGGCCGGTTCGGCAAGCGTCTTGGGCTTGCGCAGCCAGATGCGAGGGCGACGCTTGTCGGGCCGTTCCTTGGGCACCAGACGCGGTTCGTATAGTTTTAGATCGTTGAGACACATTTTCAGATCGTATCGCTCGTGCATTTCTTGGCGAGGCCCACCATATCCGCGTCCATGTCCATGTCCGTGTCCGTGTCCATGTCCATGTCCATGTCCATGTATATGTCCATGACCATGTGCATGTCCCAGACCATGACCATGTCCGTGTCCGTGTCCATGTCCACCGCCATAAGCACGCCGCTGGAGACGTCTGTAGGATTCGCGCGCCAGCTGGAAGCGCTGCTCCTGCATGTCCTCGATGAACGTGAGGAAGCTGGTGCAGCGCTGTTGCAGGCACTCCACCACCGGATCCTGACGATCGAGCACACCCTTTTCCAGGCAGACGTTCGTCAGCGTGTACATCATCTCGATGAGCGCGCTCAGCTTCTGCGGCACCTTGTCCAGCAGGAAGTAGCGCACCTGCCGCTGATACCGGCCGATCGAGTGGTGCATTAGCCCGTAGACGCACACCACCCGCTGGCTGGCCTCGTTCGAGGCGGCGCTATTGAAGCTCGCCACTGGCGTGCAGCGCACGTCCTCGATCATGCCACGCAGCGGATAGAGAAAATTGCGCGAGAATCGCACGCAGAAATTGAATGCGTTCCGCTCGCGTCGCTGCTTCTCCTGGCTGTTGTTGTGGATCAGGGGCAGCTGCAGCAGGCTGCACTGCAGCTTGTCCAGGGCCGATATGATGCGCTCCTGTGTTAGCGAGATCTTGTTGTAGATGGACATCTTTTGGAATTTCAGATTCTCCAGGGATCGAGTGCAGATGACGGCGCGCACCTTGCGCCGCTTCGGCGGCAGCGTTGGCATCGACAGATCCAAGTGGGGCTGCTCGGACGGCCTGACTGGCGCCGATAGTATACTCGAAGCCCTGTCGCCGCCTCCTGGCTGACGTGGTGCGCCCACAGCCCCTGCTGCAGCAGTCAATTCCTTGCGCTTCGCGTGCCGTGTGCCCTTCGGGCTACGCGGCTTCGACTTGGACTTGATCGATGGTGAGTGCTGCCGGCTACGTTGACGTTGCCTGGTCGGAGATCTGCCCGAGACGGTGGGGAACGTGTCGCCATTGGCCCCAGTCGATTTGCCACTTTCGAACAGCTGACGCTCCTCGTGCTGGTCGCACAGCGTGCTGCTGTCCGTGTCGGATCGCTGGGACGTGTAGTACATCGGCTTCAGGCTACGCTGCAAGCTAATCCAGTTGGGATGCGGCTCCAGCTCAACGAAGCAGCCCTGCTGCTCCTGCTGGTCGTCCGGGTCACTGTGGTTGTGCGGCACGCGCTGTGTGTAGCGCATGTAGTCGGGGCGGTCGGCGTACTCCTGCTCCAGATCACTGTCTTCAAGCGGTTCGGATTCCTCAGGTTGTCGCTGCTTCATGTACAGGCAGGCATCCGAATTGGCGCCATTCAGCGGATCGTACGCATTGCCATGGCCGGACTGGGGCATGCCGTCCGTCGCGTGGGCCTGGTAGGACGCCTGATGCGAGATGTTCATCTGCTCCTCGGTCAGCACCTGCTTCAGGCGCTGCAGTATCATGTCGGGCTCGGAGTATGTGGACGCGGTATCCGGGTGCATTCGCTTCCGCGGATTTTGACTGCGGTTGCGTGGGGACTGTTGGGATGCAAGCTTCGACCCGACCGCCAAGTGTTGCTGCGGCTGTGCATGATATTGCAGCAGCTGCTGCTGCTGATGCAGCTGATGTTGCGGTGGCTGTTGCTGTGGCTGCAGTTGCTGTTGCTGCAGCGGCTTCTGTTGCTGCTGCTGCAGCTGCGGCTGCTGCATGCGCCGAGTTTTCGGCTTGCGCTTGGCTTGCTCCGCCTGCGCCTGCGCCTGGCCCATGGACTGCAGTTCGGCGCACACCTGTCGATGCAGTCCCTCAATGTGGGCGGCATAGGGATCGGACGGATCTATTAGTTTCGGCTGCTGCTTGGCTGCTACACGCTTCGTTTTGCGCATGCGCATCTTCTTGGCTCGGCCGCTGTTGGTTGGCGTGGCAATGGTATCTGCTCCGCCAGCCAAACGTTTCACGGGCAGCACCAAATTTAGACCGTTACTCTGGCCATTGGCGACCTTATTCATGCTGCTGCCGCTACCGCTGCCGCTGCTGTGGGGCGTGTCGGGGAGGGTGCGCAATGAGATATGCGTCTCCACATCCAGGTCGCGCGATGTTACCATGCTGAGCACATCGCGGCCCGTGTTCCGCATCTTGCAGAAGCGCGGCTTGGACACCTTGGGCACCTCTCGGTCCTTCTTAATTTCGTCCCGTTCGGCAGCGCGCTGCTGATTGTAGCGCTTGACCGCATTCTTGATGGAATCCGGATTGGTGAACTGAAGGGCCAACGATAGCATTCATCGTTATCATTAGCAAGTGAGCGCGATGCGAGTGCTGTGTGTGCGCACTTACCTGAAACTCGTGAGCAAACGATTGGCCATACAGATCGTGTAGTTTCAACATTTCTCAGACTTTTAACTATATGAGTGGGTGGGATAGGAGGGTATTAGGAAGCCTCAGAGTTATAGATTGTGCTTTGGAGGGAAGAGAAAAAGTATAACCAGATGAAATTTTGTTGTATGTACGCTTCCAAAAATTTTAAATTATGCTTGTTTAGTCTGATCAGCTCGTACGTTATAGCAAAGCTGTCTATTCTTGACAGGCGGCAGGGTACAAATACTGAATTCCAGCAGCCCTTGAAGTCTGAATGACTCTATGCCTGACACACTCTCTGTCTCTCTCTCTCACTCTGTTTCTTTCTCCGCCTAGCACTCTCTTTCTATTTCCCTTTTTCTGTGTGTGTGGGCTTTTAAATTTCACATTAATTTATTAATTTATTTTGATTTAAATTTGATAGCAAAGTGAACTAGTGCTGCATAATATAGAATTGCGAATCGATAGCCGATAAGGAGAAATCGATATATTGCAGCAATGAGCATAATTGCAATTGCAAAAGGATTTGGTATTTACGAGTGCTGTAAAACAACATTCAAAATTACGCGCCAACGACCTAACAATATAAATAAATACCTCGTTTTTAAATTATTTATATATATTATATGGATTTAATTAAAAAATAGACAAACATTAAAGTTGTATGTAACACTCAGACTTCTCTTCTTCAAGCATTCCAGCTGTCTGGTCATCCTCACACAATCTTAAGGCCTAAATAATGACTTGAGCTCTGTATACATAAATCTTTGTTTATTTTCCCAGTTGCAATTGATTCGTATGTCAAAGCGTTATTCAAATTGAAAATATACATAAATATGAATAAGCCAATCTATAGATAAAATTTAGAAAACTACACCGATCAACCAATCACAATAGTTAACAACGAAGCTGCTCCATTAAAATTAGCAGAGATGCCTCAATCACATCCAAGGGTGAGTTTAGTTGTTGTCGCGCTCCGGTGCCAACCTTCCACTGAGATCTTTTGCCTTTGATTTTGCAAAAGGGTCGCTTCCGTTTCCTGCGCGTGGCGACGGCCGGCATCATCTCATTGTATATCGGTCTGACAGCGTATGAGCACCAGGAGAGCCTCATCCGGGCGCTGATCTCGCCAGCGGTGCGGCTGCTGCCAGCCAAGACGAGCAGCAATTTGGCCCTGCTGGCGTGCAAGTATCGCTTGTTTCCCGCCTCGAAGTATAAGGACAACATTAACTTAAACAGCTCGTTCTTTGGGCGGCACATAAGCAATCCCATTGGACTGGCGGCCGGGTTCGATAGGAACGGCGAAGCAGTGCACGGACTGAAGGATCTTGGCTTCGGCTTCATCGAAATTGGCAGCGTCACGCCTTTGGCTCAGAAGGCTAGTCCCAGGCCCCGCGTCTTTCGGTTGAGCGATGATCGGGCAATCATCAACCGGAATAGCATCGATAGCGATGGCCACCAGGCTGTGGTCCAGCGACTGCGCAGATTGCGCGAAACGGACGGATTCGACGCCGTCGTGGGCGTAAATTTGGAGCACAATCTCTCCTCCAGGACGCCCATCAGCGACTACATGTCGGGTGTGAAAACCTTCGGGCCAGTGGCCGATTACCTCGTCGTCAACTACAGCAATGCGAAGGGAAAGCGGCACAGCACGAGCAGTAAGAAGCAGCTTATCGAGCTGCTCGAGGCTGTGAACACGGCGCGCGCTCAGCTGCGACCCAACAGATATGGGAAGGTGCCCATTCTGCTGAAGCTGTCACCCGACATGACCCTTGACGAGATGAAGGACGTTGCCAGTGTCATCAGCATGAGTACGTGTCATGTGGACGGCCTGATCGTCGCAAATGCGACGATGGTCCATAAAAATGTCAGCGGCTCCAGGTGGTTGAGGGAGAAGGGAGCGCTCAGCGGGGAGCCGCTTCGGCAGCGCTCGACGGCCATGATTGCCCAAATGTATCAGTTAATCAATAACAGCGTCCCCATCATTGGCGTTGGCGGCGTCTCGTCTGGCCACGACGCATTCGAGAAGATCGAGGCGGGCGCCTCCTATGTACAAATCTATACGGCTTTTGTGTACGAGGGGCCCGAGCTGGTGGAGCGCATCAAGTCGGAGCTCTCAATTTGTATCGCTGAGATGGGCTACGAAAATGTCCGAGAGGTAGTGGGCTCAAATTATCAGCAATATCTGCCTGTTCGAGCTGCAGGCAGTAAATAGTTAATTGAAATAAACAAAATTTTATGTTCCGCATAATCTCCGCTAACACTGCACTTTATTTTGATATCTGCGGGAGACGGTCACATTGAAAGCGCTCTGCTATTTACATTTTTGCTCCACATTTAACATTTTGTTTTGAACGTTCTGCTAAGTGTTCTATTTTCGTTGAGTCAGCTGTGCTAGCAGAGTACCGCCACTAACCAGAGAGCGGTACCGCCGGACTGCTAAAGACCCCTTGGAGCGCATATAAAACAAATAATGGTTAAATCGCTTAGAAAGAAAATAGTCTATCTAATATATGACCTGTAAATATAATTGCCTTAGGTGTACTACCTGCATACATGTAATACGCTCAATGCTGTTAAAAGTCAACGTTCAATTTACATGATTGTTATTACATGTGTGCTCCACATGTTATCAGCTGTAGCTTCAATCACTGCTTCAATCTGTGTGCCTATTGTTAAATATTATTCATGTGCGTTTGATTTGTCGACATTTGGTGTAAGAGTATAAAAATGAGGTCTGTTTCCTCTAACGATCATAAAAAGCACAGCTTTAGTATTTATGAAAGCATTTAAATCGTATTATTGAAGCATGCGCTAGGTATTTTGCAGATAACGCACAAACGGTCATATTGCATATTTTGTTGCACTGTAGCCGTATTTAATGTTTTAGTCCGTATTTATGTAAAAAACAAACTACGTTGGAGCGAAGCACATCAATGTGCACAAGGCTGTTAAATCTATAATCAAATAGAGTCCGCTAACTGGAATACCGTGCTGGATCACATCGCCTCTGGAAGGTAAATATATGTCAGGCTCCATTGTTTCTCTTTCTGTCATTGTAGCGCCCTGGGAGAACAACAACAAAACAAAATGCTTACAACGCACTTAACAATTTCATTTGCAGATTTGACGAGATACTTGAGATCGAAGTATTTGAAACCCATAGAACGCATAGCAGCTATGGACGTCGAGGAAACCTACGAGTCACAAAGCACAACTGAGACGCCGCCACAGCAGGGACCGTTGCAGCAGCATAATTTTATTCACCAACAGCAACAGCAGCAGCTGCATATGCAGCAGCAGCAACAGCACCAGCAGCAGGAGCAACAGCAATTGCTGCAAGATATGCAATGCGAACCGCTGTTTGGCACCACCACAAACACAACAACAACAACAAATCCCATGATGGACACTAGCAACAATGCAATACCATTGCCGGCACCGCCCGGGATGGGCATCGTGGCACCAGTCTCTTCAGTCGCTTTACCATCACCCGCACAATCAACGCAACTCGAGGGCCTTGGGTCGTCTCTGCCAACAAATGACTATGATATCGACTCTCTGCTGTTGCAGCAATTCAGCTGCATGGGCACCACAGATCACGAGGATCTGATCAGTCAGTTCCAGAGCCTCATGAACAATCAAATGAATCGCGACTCGGCTCGTTTCTACTTGGAAATGAGTAACTGGTGAGTTCGTGTCAATTTCATCTAGCCGAAGCTCTGAAATCTGAACTTACCCTCATTTCGTTTCCCATTTGGTCAGGAACTTGCAAACTGCCGTCGGTTGTTACCTGGACTTCTGTAGTCTGCAATCATTGCCTTCGATGAAGATTGTGCAGAGCCAGCATGTGAACGCACTGCAGCAGGCCTTTCAGTTGCAGAACGACGGTACCGAACGCTGGCCCAATGGCTGTTATTTAACATCACCGATACAGACGCAACGCATCAATGTGCCGTCCCTGCGTCCCGGAGAAACTTGTGATATATTGGCTGACCTGATGCCCACACAGCCGGCCATCATGTGGCGCTTGTGTACGCCCAACGGTTGGTACTTTGGCGGTGAGTGGTGCACAATTTGGCAATGGGAATCTCCATCTCCATCTGCAACTTAAAAGCGGAAGCGGAATTCGAATACCTAAATCTGAATTTAAATTAATTTATAAACTATCCACTTGCTCCTTGTAGATACCATTTGGATGATACCGCCCGGCACGCAGGCCAGCGAGCTAGATGAGCTACAGCAACGCATGGTGCAGCTAATCACCTCGGACGCAAAGCCAGAGGTTTATCCACAGATCAAAATAGTGATAACAGCGCATACGCAATGAGAGGCGTTCCCATTTTCATGATTTTTCTAAATTCAACATGTTGCGTTTCATGAATTCGTTAATTCGTAACTTAGATTATTTACATTTGGCTAGCTACAATTCGGCAATCTATTCGAATCCACAAAAAAAAAAAACAATATAAAACATGTATATTTTTTATCAAAGTTTGTAATTCGATTAGCAAACAAAAAATTCTCTAAGTATATAT